CACACACACACACACACACACACACACACACACACACACACACACACTCATGTGCTTACACACATAAGCACCAACGTGATCTTCAATGGTCAAGAATTCAAAAGGAGCTGCGCTGTGTCTGACTCAGAATACTAGATCTATTGTTAGAATGTTTAATATCTGAAGGTGTAGCTTTATGTGGTGAATACTGTTTATGACTGCAGAACGCAAACAAAGGACAGATATTTGAGATCTCCAATCAATCAGTCACTCCCTTACTCAACCAACGATCAATAAATACGAATGAATGAATGAATGGATGAATGAATGAATGAATGAATGAATGAATGAATGAATGAATGAATGAATGAATGAATCAATGAATGAATGAATGAATCAATCAATCAATCAATCAACCAATTAGGTAAGCAAAAAAATATAAAAATAAAGCAAACAGTGAACGAACGAATTGAATGATAGAACGAATGAACCAATTAATTAACCATCGCCATTTCTGAATGGTCAAACAGGATGAACGAAAAAAGAAGAACTAAATGAGCAAATTAATTGATCGACCAAACTATAGATCAACCGATAACATAAATAAACACAACCAACAACAACAAAAACAACAAAAAAGAAAACAACCAGGGGGGCTCTCGTGGCCTAAAGGTTAAGGTGTTCGCCTCTCATTTAGAGGTCTCAGGTTCGAATCCGGGCAGCGAAGAAAACATTTTCTTCTCTAAAATTGTCCCTTTTCACCTCCTTTCCTGCTCTCTAGCAATGTTCTGTCGTCTGCTTTCCGTCTCCACTTTCTGCCACTACCCCTCACCTCCTTTACCCCCTCCTCTGGGCTATTGACTCTTTCTCCAGCGTTTCTACTGCTTCTCCTTAGCTCCTTCTTACGGCTGTCTTTCAGCCACACCCTTGATCTTATGGCAGGAAAGATCTACATCTAGCCTTCTCGGACAAGGGCAAAAAATCTCGGCGGTCCCGTGTGCAAGTTGCGCACGTTAGAGATCCCTTGGTAGTCTAAAATCGACAAGAGTAGGTTTCGGCCGCCACCTGGGAAAAATTCAAAATTTTCTACCAACTGAAAAGGTTTATAGTGTCCAACGCGCTCATATGACCTTCTGCAGTTGTGAGCGCCGTAAAACACTTACCCCCTAACAAAGTAAAAAGTAAAAAAATAAAACAGCCAAAACAAATACAATACAAACAAATAAAACAAAAAACAATCCAACTCACGTGACCGAGTCGTCAACAGGTTCCCCCTGTGTCCATTTCCAGGCGTCTCTGTGACTTTTCCTCTTAGGAATTCCTGCCCACCACTTTTTGACACGAGCGTGGGTCGAGCTCAAGTACGTCATCAGCTCAGCCTGAGTGCACACGAGTGTCAAAAAAATTAATTGGATTATCTAATGGTCAAAACGTGGATGGATGGATGGGTGGACGTATGAATGGTTAAGGGAGACATGTGCTTTATAAATATAGATAGATATATAGATAGATAGAGAGATAGATCGATAGATAGATAGATAGATAGGTAGATAGATAGATAGATAGATAGATAGA